TTCTGCTTAAAGAATCCAACAGAAGCAACTTAGTGTGCTTTTAATGATTGATTAAACTGCTTATTTTGGGTTTTATGCTGTGTATAACATTTGGTTTGTAGTAGTTTTCTTTGAAGATTTCCAAAGGGGAAAAAAAACCCACAACCACTAAAAAGATGAGACTATTTATAACCCCTTCCAGGCTATACCTATTTTTTTTCCTCTAATTTTTGTTTTAATAAAAACAAGCTTTTCAAAGCTTAAATTTTTCTGGACATTAAACTTTTCAGGAAGTTCTGTTGTGTTATTACTGAAGATTTTGTGTATTTAAATTGGTTTGAACACTATTTATTTTGTGCCAGCATAAATGTTTATTACTTATTATTTTATAGCCTCATATTTATCTTTGCAACATTTAAACATATTCATCCTTCTAATGATATTCTATTAGAAAAGATGACATATATTACCCAAACATGTTTCAAATATGTCCACTTCTCCCAACTGGGTCACTACAGAAGGTTCTTCCTGCTTCCGGTTTTGCCCCCCTCCCCTCTGGCCTCCACAGAGGAGGATTTGCCAGTCAAATTCTAATGGATTACATCAGTATAGCTTTATTTTTAAGGCCCTTTGGTGTCTCTCTACTGCATCTAGAATCAGATCTAAGTTTGTTAACTTGGCTGACAATGGTATCTGTTATTAGGCCTCTCATTCCATTCCTGCAACTCATGGGTATAGTCTCCTCAGACTGGGCACCTCCCCGGAATCTCGCACAGGTTGCTCCCGTGTAGCCCCAGCGGGGAACCTCCCTCAGAGTTTTTTGTAAGGTTTTAGTCCTTGAGCATGGCGGCTTACACTCCTTGGCTGTGAACAAGTGTTTATTCCTCAAGTTCCATCCCTCCTTGATGGCTGTCTTCTCCATAAAGCTCCTTCCACACCCAATGGTAATTTTCTTTTTTTTCTGTGTCCCCAACTAGTATGTCAGCATAAGGAGGAAAGGAACCTTGTTCATCGTGGTAACTCTTGTACCATCTGTGACCAGGTGCTTGATACACAACCATCGTGTAATGTAGATTGTAATGTGTAATCTACATCGTGTAATGTAGAATGATGTCGGATGAATGCCTATGTTGTTCAAGCATAAGCAGGGTATCTTCAAAGGGCTTTTGGTGACTCTTCATGGTGGTGGTGGTGGAGTTTAGTGAGACCTTTTCGGGTTCTCTCCGTCACCCACTTTTGAGAGCTACTGAACAGAGTGAACTGAATATGAAGTTGAAGGTGGAACTTGAGCAAAGTCTCAAGAATGAAGTTCATCTTCTTTTAGATTCCACCTAAAAGCCCAATCTCCTCTGCCCATTTCCTTCAGAAATCTACTTCTAACTTCAGATTGCCTTCCCTATAATTTGGGTCTATTGGTAATACAGAACTTGGATTCTCTTGTGGTCGAAGGAACTAAACCTCAGAGAGTTGATGGGTCAGCAGTATGAGCACAGTTGGACTCTCACTGGTTTGGTCTAGTTGCCTAGACACGGAATCGAGAGGGAGTTACAGAGGTCTACAGGTCACTCCCACAACCCCGCGGAACCTTTCCTATTATTCAGTTGTAGAGTTCTAACATGGAATATTGCTAAAATAAACTCACTTGCTACTGGGAGATGAAATTTTGTTTTACATTAAAATCATTCTTACATCGAACTCTACAGAGTATTTTTTCTTATTTCTCTCTACTGTAAAATAAGCAAGTTTATTGCCAGGTGTGTCTTAGTCTATTCAGGCTGTTAGAACAAAATGCCACAGGCCCAGTAACTTTTAAACAACAAAAACGTATTCCTCCCAGTTCTGGAGGCCGGGAGTCAGAGAGGTTGGCACCAGAGTGGCCACGTGGGCGAGGGCCCTCTTCCTGGTACAGAAACAGCCAGCTTCTCTCCGTGTCCTCACAGGGCAGGCAGTAGCAGCAAAGGATCTCTGTGGGGTCTCTTTGATAAGAACACTAATCCCATTCATGAAGCTGCATCTCCTGACATAAGTATGTCCCAAAGTCCCCATCTCCTAACAGCATCACATTTGGGGATTAGGAGTTCACCATTTGAATTTGGGGGACACAGACACTTTTGACTGTAATAGTATGATGGCGTGAATATAAAGTCGGGGGGAGGGGTCGACACTGCAGGGACAGAGCAAGCCAGAGTCAAGAACAATAAATCTATTTGAAGCACACACTAAACTCAGTTGTTTCCCTATAATTGACCATTGTCTGAATTTTTTGTTTTTGCTGGGCCCACAGCCTATATTATCTGTGGGCAGGGTATATTGTTTTTCAGAAAATAGCATAGTAAAATGTTATCATTATAAGCATTCCTGAATCAGATATTTTCGGATGTACCTTTAAGGTGACCAAAATATGTTATGGATTATGTCACGCTGCCAGCAAAGAGGAAATTATAACAAGTAACTGCCTCATTTTTGTTAAGACTTCAGTAAACACAGGCCCAACTCACCCTGAATAATTACCACAGAGAGCTATGCAGTGGGCTTTAACTGGTAGTTGTTTGTAATCAAGCAGCCTGGATCCTGCCTTGACATAAAGCAGAGGAAGTGGTTAGGAGACAGACCTGTAATTATCAGCAGCAGGTGCCCATAATGGAATGCCAGAGAGATGTTTAAAGAGGCAAATATTACCTCAGGAAAGACTTCAAGACTGTCAGGTTAGACCAAAAGACATCAAATTAAAACTGGCTGGAGAGCAGTATTAAACAAATATTTCTTTGAAAGCAAAAGAAAATGTAGTACATTCCTTTTATCCAAATTAACCTCATCCTCCACATGCCTAAACATTATCAAGTAATAAGGTCTGAAAAAGGTAGGACTCCATTTTTAGAAAAGGGTTATTTAACATTAGATATTTTCCAGTTATTAAAAGGTTTTATTTATTGTGTAATGAAAAGCTTTACTCTTTATTTTATTAAATATCACATGAATAAATGAAAAATTAGTTTCTTTTCCAATATGAATTTTCATGGCTTCAAAGTATGCCAAATCATTGATTTCATAATTGCATATCACCAAAATTTTTATTTCAATTACATAAGTTAACAATATTCTTTTTTATAACTTTTTAGATGGAAGAATAAAAACAAAATAAATTCTGTATTTAATATATATGTACTTTTATATACATTTTATATTTTAGTAGTCTACTATACTTTATTAGGTATTTGTCCGTTGTTGCACAAAATTTCACCCTTCTGTGATAACATTTTTCGATTTTCACCTTTTTCTAAAGGAAATAAAATATCATCATCTTTTCTAAGTGGTATGGAGATAGAACAATGATCTATACAATAAAAACGTGTAATCAAGTTATAAAAGAAATGTTAAATACGATTTATAAAATGCTAGGTCTACTTTAAGAAATACACTATCATTTCAATATTTTTCTTTCACCTTAATGTATACATCAAAGGCTGGGGTTTATATTAGTCTACAGGAAATTCTGTTATATGAGGCATAAACAGACTAAAGAAACTTAACAAAATGTAATTGCCTGAGCGTCTTTTACATTTTCAAATGGGTAGCTTTCTTTTTCTTTCTTTTCCAAGGGAGCAAATACTTTGGCTGGTTTTATGTTGTGGGAATGAACAAACCTCATGGACTGGAACACCTTCTAATGCAGAGAGGAGTTATGATATATCTGTATGACCCCATTCACTCTCAGATGTACTTAGCACATATTTGGGGGAATGTTTGTTTTCCTGCCTAATGCTAACGATATAGTTATCTCTATGAAAACAAATGGGGAAGTCAGTCACTCACTGCTTTTGCCAGAAATGCCTTTAGCTCCCAAAGTAGTTGTATGTCAAGATACTGCCCTACTTAAAAGGAAGACATAAGATTTATTCTGGAAGTTTACCAGGACAGACCAGCCCTCAAAAATGCAGAGGAAAAGATCTTTGTAGCGAAATTAAAATAAACTTAAGTCAGACTTGACGCATTCTGCTCAAGATAATGCCATCTAAAAATATGTATGTAAGTTGTGGAGGGTCTCAGTCCTTGTTCAAAGTGGACACCAAATATGGGAGAGAGATTCAGAAATTATCCAAGAACAGATGGATAGATAAGGAGAGGTGGAAATTGTATTTTATGGTTTTTAATTTATCGGCATATTTCGACATTGGGAATTTTTTTTCAGATTGTTTAGTAAGTTAAACCAAGCCTCGCATGAAGCCCTAGTTTATACAGGTGAACAAAGCACCCAAGTTGTTAACCTGCATTCTCACTAGTGAAATGTAAAATTTACCTGGAGGAGAAAGATGTGGTTAGAATTGGCAGATGTGAGAGTTAGAATTTATTTCTAACTATTTTAACATGTAGTATATGCTCTCAAACTACAGCACAGATTAACTTTTTTTATGGAGAAAAAAAGTTGGTACGCCTGAGGTCAGCTCAACTCAGGAAGTATTACTTGCAATGTCCCATAAAGATAAATGAGATAGAATAGTACAGCATATTGTACCTTTCTTTAAGAACATTAAAATTTTGTTAAGAAGATGAAATATCGAAGATAGAATATAAAACTACAAGGTGGAACACTGACATAAGAATAAATACAGTATTTTGAAAGAAAAGAGGTAAGTGTGATCTGGTACTAGAATTTTCATCTGGGATACACCCTTTAGCCAATTTTGAGAAAGGGATAAAGTACTGCACTCAGTTAACTTAAAGGCCACTGGAAATGTTTTGTTAAAGCTGGGAAAAGTTCAATTTTCTCTTTGCCTCTTCCCATTTTCTCCCCCTTTCAATTTCAAGAGCAATTCTGCCCGTGGCTTTCGCCTATTAACAGCTCTTGTCTTCGCCTCCAGGTGAGGAGCTACAGAGACCTGGTCTCTGCTTTCCTGAGTGGCTCTCTGCCTTTGCTCTCCCAGGGCTGCATTACACTGGAGAAGTGCAAAATGAGTCTCCAATCCAAATTTAGCTGTTTTATTACACACGCTGTAGCTAAGCTACTTTAGGCCAGACATTACCACATCTCTCAGCAACACTCTGAGTTTGTCAAGCGGTACAGGTTTGTTGTCTCCTTTTAAATCCAGTTTTACATGTTTTAAAACTTGTTTGGATTTTGAGTAATGGTCTCCTTGGTGCCGTGATGTTTGTAAAATGACGCCAGTGCTTGAAGGTAGAGTATTGCTGTGTTAGATATTTCCCCTGCTCTCTATAGGATGTGTGCGGGGTGAGGGGCAGCTGCATGAGTCTCCATGGGCGGGAGAGTGGACAGAGTTAAGCATTATCACCCTGTACAACTACTTCAAAGTCAGTTATAGAAACGTCTATAATTAGCTAAAATAATTCAGATGACTTAAAATTGTAAAACATAAGACTGTTTTGCCTAATGTGGTTTACAAATGTTTGGAAATATAGAGACACAGGTACATAATTGATAAATATTAATTTTAAATTTGATAGTGTAATATGTTTTAGAGCTATAATGTTTTTACTCAGTAGTTCTCCCTTTAGTACAGGCTTTTTAATATTTTTCTTATGCCTTTTGTCATTTGGAGACAGAGTACTGCTGGGTCAACAGTATCTGGGATGCCAATGAATGTTTCTGAAGCTCTGGTATTTTCCAGGTTTAGAAAAGTGAAAACAGCAAAGTGGGAAGAATGTGGGAAAAGAGTGTGAAGTGACCTTGCAGTTAGTGTCCCAGCCATGCCTGCGGTAGGAGCTTATTAAAAATTCCTGAAGTGACTGGATTAAGACATACATATAAGGAAATTTTATATTTTAGATCAATAAAAAAATCACCCTACATTCTCTCAAAAATGAAGTATTCATAATTAACAAATGCTGTTTTTTCTCATTTGACCCACTAATTATGTCTATGAATAACACTTTTATAAATAACATTTTTAGATACAGAAATATATTGATAACTGTATGGACCAGTGATTTTCAACCTTTTTCATCTCATAGCACACATAAACCAATTACTAAACTTGGGCAGTACACCAAAAATATATATTTTTGCCAATCTGACAAAAAATGGGTATAATTTTGATTTGTTCACACCAGATAGTTATTGTGTTGCCTATTGTCAGTTTTTAAATTTACACTCTAAGGGAAAAGATGCCAGTGCCCCTCACTAAGTAGTCACATATTATGTGTTTTAAAAATTCTTGTGGCACACCTGTTGAAAATCAGTGCTGTAGACTAAAAACTTGAAGACCATGAAGGTATGGAGGCTGAAAAGTAATATTTCCAGTCCTGGAGTCCCATAGCTTAACACGTGACAATCTGGACCAAAGAACCTTTTCTTAAAATATAACATTATCAACTCGGTGTGGTAACACTGGTCAGAAGATCCAATTTTCAGTCATAAACCTTTAGATAAAATGTGAGTTATCCATTATTTGTCAATAAATACAATTTATTAAGCAGTTAGTATAAAGCCATCAAAGGTAGGAAAAATATGAAAAGCCCTAAGTAGTGTAAAATTTGGAAAACACTGATGTATTTTTTATATCAGTGTGTTTTATCATTAATTAATTATTAAAATATCTGGAATCGAAGTTGACCACATTGCTTGAGTTTAGTCAATTTTTATATTTTGATCTTATTTACTGAATTTATCTGTAGAGTTTTTATACTGATCTTCAAAAATATCGTCACTTGACTCAAAACCTTATCTTAGAAAGCTATGACATCATGCTTTGTATGACACCATGAAAATTTGCTTTGGTTCCTATTATTGGTTTCTTCAGGGCCACATTTCTTTTTTCAAAAAATTTAAAATTGAACGCTCAGCTACTTTTATTCAAGAGGTAATTAATGCAAAAAATATTCTTTTGGGTTTTTTTGTTAGTTTGTAATGTTGATTATTTCCAATCTACTTCAGTAGTTTCAGAGACCCCAACATAAGGCAGAACTGACTTATGAGAACATTATTTCAATTTAGTAAAATGAGAGGTTCATTTAGAGTCTCTGTTCAATTTTGTTATTAACTTAAATTAATTTGTTATACAGTGTTTGGAATATCATTCTATTATGATTACTTGAACACTTTGGGCTTTAATTTAGATTGTCAGACTGAAATGTAAAATTTCATATATATCACAAGCAATGGATTTGTTCTAGTATCACTTACTAGTTCAGTTACTGCAAATTATTTCTGACCCTTCTTCATTAAAAAGTGTTTTCTCTACCAAATTAACCTAAATTTAACTATTTCTTAACTAAAATTTGTGTGGAAGTATATTTATTTGTATATTATATGGCAAAATTGTTTGAGCATTTTTTAAATCGAGTATATTATCACCGAGCCTATATACCTGTCTTTCTGCAATGTGTTGGGTAGATGACTAGATGCGTTACAGTGACCCAGAGCCAAGGAGACCACTGGGTAGGAATTTTTACCCAAACTGGGTTGTTTTTGAGAGTGAAAGGGAAAGCTATAAAGAATTTTTCCTGGACAACAAGCATAAACTGGGATTGTCCTGAAGAAATGGGGAGAATAATCACCCTACCAGGAGAGTGAGTACACAATTCTGCAGTACCTTCTAAATCACTAGGTAAAAAGTTAGTGTATGTTTTGCGGTTTTACAATTAACCATAGAGTCCTTTATTTGAAAAGTTTTTGCAAAGTTATTTTACTTTCATGAAATCAACGAGAATAATTGATTAACCAGAACTGCTACCTTCTTGCCCAAGTCCCAAAATAGAGTGCGCTTTATCTGTGTACCTTCACTCTTCGTGAAGCCTATATGGATGCATATATATATATATATATATATATATATATATATATATATATTATACAATATATATCAACACCTATTAAAGTACCAATAGAATATTTCACAGACATAGAACAAACACTTCAAAAACTTATATGGAACCATAAACAACCTTGAATAGCTGCTACCATTTTGAGAAAGAAGAGCAAAGTAGGAGGGATCACAGTACCTGATACCAAACTGTATTACAAGGCCACTGTAATCAAAACAGCCTGGAACTGTCATGAAAACAGACATAAGGACCAGTGAAACAGAACGGAGAACCCAGAAATAAACTCAAGTCTCTACAGTCAATTAATATTCAACAAAAGGGGCAGCAACATAAAATGGAGTAAAAATAGTCTCTTCAACAAATGGTGTTGGGAGAACTGGATAGCTACATGCAAAAAAATGAAACTCAAGCACCAACTTACACCATACACAGAAATAAATTCAAGGTGGATAAAAGGTTTAAATATAAGTTGTGACACCATAAAAGTCCTAGAGGAGAACATAGGCAGAAAAATCTCAGATATTTCACGCAGCAACATTGTAACCAATATGTCCCCTAGAGCAAGATACATGAAGGCAAGAATAAACAAATAGGATCTTATCAAAATAATAAGCTTCTGCACTGCTAAAGAAAACAGTGTTAAAATGAAAAGAGAACCAACAATATGGGAAAACATTTGTCAATGATACCTCAGACAAGGGTTCACTCTCCAAAATATATAAAGAGGTTACATGACTCCACTCTAAGAACACAAGCAACCCAATTAAAAAATGGGCAAAGTACTTGAACAGACACTTCTCCAAGGAGAACATACAGAGGACCCAGAGACACATGAAAAGATGCTCAATATCCCTAGCTATCAGAGAGATGCGAAGTAAAACCACAATGAGATACCACTTTACACCAGTCAGGATGGCCATCATAAACAAAGCAACAAATAACAAATGTTGGAGAGGTTGTGGGGAAAAGGGGACCCTAGTGCACTATTGGTAGGATGGCAGACTGGTACAACCACTATGGAAAACAGTATGGAATTTTCTCAGAAAACTAAAAATGGATCTGCCTTTTGACCCAGCAATTCCACTGCTAGGATTATATCCTAAAAACCCCGAATCACCAATCCAAAAGAACCTGTGCACCCCAATGTTCATAGCAGCACAATTTACAATAGCCAAGTGCTAAAAGCAACCTAGGTGTCCATCAGTAAATGAATGGATCAAAAATTATGGTACATTTACATAATGGAATTCTATGAAACAGAAAGAAAGAGAGAAGGGGCTCCTACCCTTTGCAACAACATGGATGGAACTGGAAAGCATTATGCTGAGTGAAATAAGCCAGGTGGTGAAAGACAAATACCATATGATCTCACCTTTAACAGGAAGCTAAACAACAAAACAAACAAACAAGCAAAATATAACCAAAGACACTTAAATAGAGAACAGGCTGATAGTGTCCAGACAGGAAAGGGGAGGGAATTTCAGGGGAAGAGGGTTACTGTAAAAGACATGTGGACAAAATCTAGGGGGGTGGGACTGGGAGGAGGAGGGCTGGGTGGGTGGGCTGGGATAGGAATAAAAGACAGAAAACTGTACTTGAACAACAATTAAATAAAAAGTTAAAATATATATAATATATATTATAGATAAATAAATATGTTAAACATATGTAATGTGTGTTGTGGGAGTAAAACAGTTTCCTTCCAGTAACAGCTTATTTTTTTAAATAATAGAAGTTAAGACATTTTTAAAAACTAGAATATATTTTGCCAGGGTTGGTTTTTGCCCACTTGTCTCCTATTCTAGTGAGCTGTCATTCCACTACTGGGAATTGTCACCAGATGGCCATCTGCTTTGAGAAGCCCTGTCAACATGTTGATTGAGGGCAGCTCCATGGCTACTCAACAGCAGAACACAAAACAGGGGAAACCTTGGGTGAGCTTCTGTAAGTTGGTTTACTCGTTTTGGTTGATTTCTACTTCAGAGCATATAGAAATTTCACTGGAAGGACTGGCATGGATTTTTGGACTGAAAAGAAGTAGTATTTCTAAACAATTACCTCGGACATGGCAGATTATGTTTGCTATGCATATCTATTTTTGGAAATATTCTTAGATCATTGATAATGAAGATTGTATATAGTTATTTTAAGTACTTGTTTTGGATGAGAATTTAAATGATACATTTTGAATTACATGTGTTTTACACATATTTATCTTTGGTATTTATAAAAGTTATTTTATTAAAAACTTCTACTATGAAAAAAAAGAATCCGTAACGATTAAATACTCATAGTTGTCAAGTTTTAAAATGTAGTTCTGCAAAGTTATAAGAGGGTAAGCTTGAAATTTTACCCAAGAAGAATTATAAAGCAGATCTAATTTGCATTAGCCCTTCAGACTTCACTGATATTTTAGGAAGAAGAATAAACTTGGGGAAACAGTTATATTTACTCAATTTAGAACTAATGCATAAGGCCAGCCACACAAGGAAGGGCATTCTCAAAATTGCTACTATTATGTATATTATACTTCCTTTTGGCATTTGAGCTTTCAAATGTATTCCATCAACTCTGTGTGCAATGTTTCTTTTTTGACAGGGGCATGTGGAGGGAGGGCTTTCTCTGATTCAGCCAGGCTTCAGTGAACCCACTAATTTGGCATCTTTTTTAAAAAGGAACACATGAGAAGCTGAAACCCAGATGGGAAGCTGACTTGCCTTGGATTCTGAAACTTGACTTGCCTAGCGCATATATTTTACAGATAAGGAAACAGACCTCCACAGAGCCCAGAGTTAACACAGGTGTTAATGTAGAACTGGGGTGACAGTTCCTGTCCTCTGGCTCCTGGATCCAGCTGCTTCCTACCACACAGCACTGCACTCTCCATTGCTCTGCACGAATATCCGCTTCACCCCTCTGTGTCCTACTCTTCCTTGGAAAACACAGGGGTCCCTAGCTTCAGTGCTTACTGTGACCATTGAGGTTACCTGAGTCGGTGGGCTAAGTGGAGGATGACAGATACTGCTGGGGACTGTGGCAAAGCAGAGAGCACAGTCCCGCCTGTCACAGAAGGCTCTGGGTCCTCACTGCAGGAGCATGGGCCCAGGATGGTGACAGCTTCCAGTTTGTCAAGAAAACCCAGAAATCTCAATCCTTACTTGAAATTTCTCAGGCAGGGTATGTCTTAGAAAACTTGCATACAGGTGGACTTTTGCCAGCTACCTGCCAGATTGTGACCTCCACTTAAGTGCATGTTTCTCATCTCCCTGACAGCAGCAGCTGCAAGAACAGGCCCTGTGGCTTAACACATGCAAGGCACCATTTATGCATTATCTCTTCTAATCTTCTCAACAACCCAGGGAAGTACTGACGATAAGGAAACTGAGGCTCTGCCAGTCTGAAGTAATTTGTCAAAGTTCAACAGCTAAATCCTGGGCTAGGGCTGAAACCTAAACCTTTCTGATTGGCAATTTTTAATCTCATCCTCACAATCTTTGGCCTCCCTGATGGTTCAGCCATTACTGGATTGAATTAAAGCTACTGGTGAATCTGTACAGTTTTCCAAATTCCATTTCAGTTCAGCTTTTCAAACACATTCTGAATTACCACTGTGTAAAAAAGCATGTGTACCCTAAAGGTGAAGGATTACACTGTACAAAGCATGGTATTTGGCCTGGTGAACAAGCCAGGCATGGAAACTAATCATTATTTTAAACATGGACCACGCTAAGTTCTAGATTTGAATCATCTCTCTGGTGTAATAAATTTCTGACTGCTTATTCAGTTGGCTCGTATCTAGGTTGACATATACTTCTCCTCATTTGTCTTCTGAAAAAAATCAATAAATTATTTGTATACGTTTAACAGAGGTGAAATTGAGGCTTTTAAAAACCTTATTAGGGGGTGATACTTCTGACATTTATCCTAAAGGTAACAATGTTTCAATTTGATTTATTGTGTATTTGGAATTAGAACTCTGACTCTAAGTGTACATTTGATCTTTTATTGTACATTATTTTAACTGCAATTATTAAAATTATTTTGTTATTAATTATCTTGTTCTTTCAACTTTGAATACAGTAGCATCATTGTATCATTCTCAGTTTAGTTATACTAGTATAATACTTTTGAAAATTACTTCTAATAGTTTTATTTCCTCTCTCTCTCTCCCTCCCTCCCCACTCCCCCAGTGTAGCCTTGCATTCTTTCCCAAGTTATAGCCCTAATCAATTGCAGGACCACATTTTATTTCAAGCAGTAATCATAACTTCTCATCCGTCCTAACGTCTGTTGCTGCTACATGCAGAGATGATCAGTTGTGTCACCAGAGAGGTGATGGGAGATCTCCGAGGACCAGGACTGCAGTGGATGCTGCTGGTTCCCGGTTCTGATCTCCTTTACTGGCCCAGTGCACACAGCCCCCAGCTGCTATGATGTTGGCGGCTAAAGGATCACAGCTGTCCCTTCTTCAAAGAATTGCGTTTGGCTGAACCAGGAGCTGCCTTTCCTTGAGGTTTCCTGAAGGTGGGAACAACACTGTGGTGTACCTGTTTTGTACCCAAGTACCTGTGTTGTTGAAAGACATTCTAATTTGCTAGAAAATGTGAGGGGCCCCTTAATTTCTTGCTCTTTCCTCTGGTCCCTGGTGTTGCTAAAAACCAGGACCTAGAGAAGACCTTGGAACCTTTGAATAGAACAATTCTGAAACCATAGAGTTTGGAATACATGCGATTGTCCCCAACAGTCTCTAATACAGATAAAAATTCACTATTAGGAAAAAAAGAAAGAAAAGATTAAGTTGAAAATACTGTGGTGATTTTAAGAATTCTGCTGGGGATTGCAGCAGCGCTTGGCACTGAAGGTTAGGGGTAATAACAGAAATCCACTGTGATTTCAAAGGTCCATTCTCAACCCTGAACTTTAAAAGACTGAGAATGCAGGACACTTTCTTTTCTCCATGGGCTTTAAAAACATGACATCTTTGTAGGTGGTTTTTCATCTTAACACCTTCTTTGTAAATATTACATTGTTAACATTATGATAAAACCTCTCTTGCTCTGCCTCCCCCTTCCCTCCCCCCATCCTTTCTGCTCCCTCTCTCTCCTCACACACCCCTGCACCCCCCTTCCTCCCGGAGTTCTCCCCCCTCCCTCACCTCTCTCATTCACACTGGGGATGCCTCCACTCTCTTTCATAACTGCTTTGGGAATGGCTTTCATCCTGCATCACCTATTTTGATTGGAAAACGTATTAGCATTACACTTTCAAAATGAAGGGTTTTTTTGTTTTCAATTCCTTTAGAGAAAAGGTATTTTTCAACATCGACTTGCATATAACTTAATATCCAAAAATCAAATATATAAATTATACCTTTATGAAATACTTAAACTAATATTACATATTAATATTAAATTTACCTGGAAATAAATTACTGGGAGAAATTTCCTCATGTCTTTCCTTTGGAAAAAACTGCATATTTTTAACATTTATTTTGTTTTTATTCATACACAATTTTTAATTTACCAGTTTTCTCATTCACTATCACAAAACCAAACTGAATGGTAAAATTATATAGAAAATTGTTTGCTTTTTCACAATTTAGTCATTTTGTATTCCCATGAACTCTGAGATATATAAAAATGGGTAAGAAACTTAAAAATATATGGTTTTTATTTTTTTATAGAGTCCACATTTCTTATCAGGTATTTTTGAAAATTTACGGAGATCAAAGTGCCCTTCTCACGATTCTTTTATGGGTGTTTGGAGGTACCACCACAAAGAAGAGCGCCATTTTTATAAGACCACGTAGTAGAAAATACCCAAGTTATCAAAAAGGAGCCTATACTTTACTTTTTTTCTGAAAAATAGCTTTTAAAATTCATCTTCCTTGATAACTTCATATTGTTCCACTTATTCAAGGAGATGATGAATACTTCTTTGAGGCACTAAATATCTATCTCTTTGGATCAAGTATTTATATTGGAGTTCAGGTATAAACTTTTATCATGTTTTCACCATTCTGGATTTTGCAGTTTGTTATGGTAACAAATATAACCTGAGTCAATCAATCATAAAGAAATGAAAAACGTAAGCCTTGAATTTTACTATTAACTTAGGTTTAAATCTTACCTGAGATCATTCCTATCCCTTTGTCTTGAGTTCATTGGTTAATTGGAGTGTCTTAGAACAATCATGCAACAAAACATCAGTACACCTACAAATACATTTCATTTTCTGCATGTGAAAGATGTGTGGTCTATAAAAAGATCTAAAAATCTTGTTCTATTTTGGGTATCCAGGGACCCTAGAAGCTCTGTGACTTTAAGAAAATATTTTACCTTTTTGGAGCTTCATTTTTTTCATCCATCCAAACATTTTGGGGGGTTGATAGAGACCCCTGTATACGCTAGCTTATTTGAAAGGCTAAGAATCCAGCTTGGCATTGCTCATAGAACAGGTCCATATCATTTACAGAGGTTTGGGCACTGGTGATTTGGGGGTTAATGATGACCCTGGAATAGAGCTTCTTCATTAGAAAGTCAGCATGTTCCAAAATCTCTCTGTAAATTACTTCTGTTAAAGATAACATGGAAGACAAAAATACCTTCAGCTATGTTTGCAATTTAGGTTTGAAGGTAAGTAGGGCAGACAGTGGAAGATTTGGGGAATTCATAAAAAGTCTCTTCTTTCTGTTCCCTTATACATTCTGAACCATTAAAAGATTTAAGGAGTGCTCCTACAATTAATTGCATCACTTGTATTGACACTAGGAAGTGTTTGCTGTGACTTAGGCAGGTAGGTTGACTGGACATCCAGTGAGTTCCAATCAAGATTTACCTTCATCAGCACGTGAAAGAGGAAAAGCTTAAAAAAGAAAGAAAATGTCGGGCGGGGGGCAGTGCAAGGGTCTGTATTTATGTTTGTTTTTCTGTGGAAGTTTTCTGAATTAGTAAGTGAGGCAATGTTTTATGTCAGCAGGTCTAAGTAATGGTGATGGTAAAATGATGAAATAATCTTAAATCTATTTTATGGTGTATAAAGGGGAGAAATCATTTAACCCCTCTGGAGTGATGGGTGGTATGATGGCCCGAAGGGAGATCTCTGGTTGCTCCCTCCAAATGGACTCTTACTTCTCGGGGGATTCAAACTCATTGCTGGCCTTGCTCTGAAGCCATGCACTGCCCTGCTGCTGAGAAGGCTCGGGTGTCAGTTACCGATCTCCTGGAATGTTTTTTCTCAATCAGCAGCTTGCAGCTTAACCACGTACCAGCATCATCATAAAATTCTCTTTAACTCCCTTTTCTCTGTGTCCTGAAACAGCATTGATTTGAACTTGAAGCAATGTTTCTGAAAGTGTGATCCATAGAAAATGGGCGGTGATTCTTTAGTCAAATTTTCTCTCTCTCTCTCAATTTCAAAATGAATTTCAAATAAGACACTTTCCGAAATAATACAGCAAACCAGTCTCTCTAGCACTGAGACATCCAAGTTGATGTATTCTGTGGGTGTTACAAGTATGTTTTTAAATATTACATTGTATATACTTTAATTTTTAATTTTTTTACTGGAGCCTCATCTATGCCTCCTTCGAAAAATACGTAAGTTTATTTATAACAGCTAATACCTTAGAAAAGCAATCTTTTCATCAAAGATTATATTAAAGATTATATTAAAGATTATATTATATATAAAAACTATCAAAGATAGTTATATTTTACTTATTGGAGCTCAGTCATTAAACACAAAGCAGGTTTCATTGCTTTCCTATACATAAATGAAGATATAATTGTTAAAGACTAAATAGCAGAAAAGTACTTTTTGAAATAAAGTGATTATTCCTGTCAACCTGTTTAAAATGATAAATCTCTTCCAAAGTGAGCTACTACAGTGGTTCATTTCTTTTATTCCACATTTATATATCTGGCATTGGATCATTATATAGTTTTGCTATAAATGTATATATTTAAAGTCAATATTGAAAAATATTTAACTATGTTATATAGCATACTTTCTAAGTGAGATTTACTCATGTATGTTATAGTTTATGGGATTAAAAAGTTAACATTGTATACGGAGTATTGTCAGTAGTGACCTCTTCTTTAGATTAATCAGCAGATAAATGGAGTGTTGCTAGAAGAAAGGGAACAAGGATCATCTTCTTGTGCAATGTAAATACTGGGTACTGGCTGGCCTGTGATTTATTTGGAGTGAGAAAATGGTCTTCGTTTTTTCAGACACTGTCACACTGACACATAGGCCAAACACGAAGGAGATTGCACAGCCTGAGCCCTGGAAATCTGGCTAGGTAAGGCTTTTCCCTCTAGTGCTTTATCAGCTCTTGGACAAGAACTTCAGGGTTATGTTCAGTAACACATTCACTATCTCCGTTTTTTCTCCTCATTAAGGAAAAAACGTTCTGCCGTCACATGATCCATGGTTCGAGTTAATGCAGTCTCTAACATGTCCCAGATGTTTTAACGTCACTCTCGTCACTGGCAGAGTTTATAAATGTGATTTGTCTACTCGTTTATTCTTTTTGAAGCAAACATTATCTTTCTGCTTGAAGAAAAAAGCTAAATTAGAGATTCAATGAGTTACTTAACATAATTTACAGTATGTTTAGAAACAGTGCTAAAATGCAGAGTATGTAATCAATGGCACATTCTCATAAAGAATTTATTTGCACTGAGTAACAGAAATGTGATCTTGCCAAAATGACCAGATGTCCCTCCTTAATGGTATCCCTTTAAAATATATATATATATATATATATATTGAGTTTCATAAAACATTTTCCTATTCCAGTACAGGGGTAGAAATAGCAAATCCCAACCTGGAAGAATGTATCTCTGTGCTATCTAGTTAGTGGTCTAATTTTCAAAATTGTTTCATCCTAATGTTAGAAGCACTTTTCTACAGTTTTCCTTTTTTTTGTTCAGTTTCAAGTTGCTGCATTGTTTCAGTTTGGGGGGGTGTTTATGGTATGGCTACAACGCCCTCTTCGCCCTTTTTATTGTGT